GCAGAGTGTACTCCTCCATTACTAACAGTACTCTGAAGTCCTCTTCATTGGTAGATGATGTAAATGTAGAATAAATGACATTTCTGTGAAGACTGAGATTTCTAGGTACTCATTTTTCCTTTACTGATATGATATTACCATATCCATACATTACCATATTATTAATGTTATATTACTGCATGCATGGACATGCCATTGAGCATTGACAACGACCTTGTCCACTGCAAGCTTCATATCAGCAACCATGTAGCATTTCTTCTTTATCTGTAAGCTTACAGGATGGCTTGTAATTTTGCACAGTTTTAATTGAGTCAAGTGATTTCACTATAACAAAAAAGATTGTAAAAAACATACCTGAAACAGGAAGGAATATTTTAGTGACAACCATCATATTTTTTGGAGAAATAAATGATAGTTTAGGTTAATTACTTTTCATTCTTTGTATCCCAGTGCTGAATTCTATCTATGACATTCTAATGCATAATTTTGTGATGGCTGATGCAGTAATTTTTTGTCGAGTGAATTTTTTTCACTTTGCAATGTAAAATTAATCAAAATTCTTTGTTGTTAATTGATTTTTTTTCATTAACTGGAGCCTTTGCTAACAAAGGTTCTACTGTAAATGCAACTTTAGGGGTGTCCCTTATTCCCCCAGGGGGGTGTCCCTCATTACACTGTTTTGCAGAAATGGCTGCAATTTTTTCTTGGAATGAGATATGAAAATTCTGTTGGTCACGTTTTTTAGGCCAACACCAGCGTGCAACTTTTATGCAAGTAAAATTTGTCAATACAAGAAATATTTCTTCTGGTACAGACCTTAGCAGAGGTACTTTTTCAATATCTCACTTTTCACACTTTTTTCAGGGATTTTTTAGAGGTAGTAAATGTATGATTTCTCAACTTGCTTTATGCTGCATAGATAGTAAAAATGTTGAACTTTATACCACTATTTTTAGTTTTGCAAAGTTTGATTATTTTAGCTGCTACAACATTTCTACGAAATGTTGGAGGACTGTCCCTTATTACCCCAACTGATGGTACATCTAAATTTAAGAGAAATTCAGAAATTTTTATTTGGTGTACAATGTTCAATATGCTGCAAAAAGTATATCCATATCTGGGTTGGGCAAGTGAGTTTATGGCATAAAATCACATGAAATAAGTTTGTAATTACAAGGTCACAATTTTATTTAGCCTAAAATTGGTTTTGATTAGCAAACTGTGGATTTTGGTTGTCTCATCAATGATAAAAGGTTGATACTTTAGTTGAACTATTTATGAACCGAACCAGTCATTCATTTTTCAATTTTTACCAAAATTTCTGAGAAAATAATTCTAATTTCATCTTACAAATTACCATTAACATAACTGAATAACTTTTTCATTTATAATCAAAGTAGCTTGCCAGAAATTTGTTTTATTGATTTTTTCACAGCATGTCAGTTTCTCTGTGATTTCTGTTCTGGCGAGTAGTACCTATATATGTATAATAGACTGGATGAGTCAACTATGAACTGATACTATGAATTTAGTAGAAGTCTTTGAATGTATATGGCTTGCCAATCAGTTTTGCTATTATAAATATTTTACAAATTTTCAGGTATTTTCATCGTTGGTGCCCGCCGCACACCTTTTGGGGCAATGGGAGGAGCTTTTACAAAAGTATCACCCACTGACCTCCAGGAGGTAGCTGCAAAAGCTGCACTTGCTGATGCCAAAGTTGATCCTAAACTTGTGGACTCTGTTGTCATTGGTAATGTTATCTCGGTGAGTGCTTGAACTACCATTTTTTTATATGTTTGAAAGTCTTGGTATAAGGATAAAAGTGTAATGGTATTTTAATGTCTAAATGTATTCTTGATCGAGTATCCTGCTCATAGTTAACTCTTGACAATTGTCAGGTGGCTGTGTTAAGCACCACTTGACTGATATATGTTCAACACGAGGACAGGGATTTGTTGACTAAGTGCTTGAGGGATAAGTAAGACACGATCTGTCTACAGATGTTACCTTGATACAGGGTGGATACACAAGTTATTATGGATACAGACAGATACTTGGCTTAGACCTAGACTGTTAGGTCTGTTAGACTGTTGGCTACTGTGAGTCTCACTAAGGTGCTCAGCCCTCTTATAGACTATTTACTTTTACCCACCATAGTGATCTTGATCTCGTGATGTATCACGTGAGGTTGCCCATGCTGACTCAGTATCCAGCATTTTTTGCTCAATGTCTACCGCGTCTAGTGAATATTACATCTCAATCACAGATGATCTAATCTTAGAAGATATTTATAATGAATAGAATGAGATGCCTGTTTGACACGGGACACAATGCATGTTAGCTAGCACCCACATATTAAATTGATCAATGGAAACTAATTAATTTTCTTTCCCTTAATTTCAAAATTGTTTTAATTATTTTCTAAATTCAATATTGCAGGTATTAGACAAAGATACTTTCTACATTTCCCTACACGTAATTATTTTCTAAATCAACTCTATCTTGCAGGTATCAGACAAAGACACTGGCTACATCTCCCGGCACGTTGGTCTGCGTGTGGGTGTGCCACTCGAAGCTCCTGCTCTCACCATCAACCGACTCTGTGGGTCAGGGTTCCAGGCTGTGGTCACTGGTGCTCATGTGCGTTCATGCTTGCAATTTTCTAAGATTAAACTGATTTCAATCTTGGTGGATTTAAGTGGGATGATTTTTTCATTAAATTATGAGTAATTCAATTTATGAGAAAAGGCTTAATTCTCCTACAATATCTTATTTTCCAGCAAGTCGATAAGGGATGTACTTGAGAAAGCAATGTTATATACAATTTTATTGATGACGATACTCTGATCTCGATTATAAGCATATTTCTCTTAGAAACTCTAATGTAGGAAAAAAATGCTTGAATCTTTGTGTTGTCATAAATATGTCTAGAAAAACCCATGTTCAAGATGCTCCTTCAATTTTCTTTAGGATATATTGATGGGTGACAGCAAAATTGTGTTGACTGGCGGCTCAGACAACATGAGCATGACTCCGATGGTTCTACGAGACATTCGTTTCGGCATCAAACTTGGAGCCAACCTCGGCATGGAGGTGAGAGAAGCTATCATTCCTTAGCTCTTTTGGCTATGGCAGTCATGTAATCTCTTATTTTTGAAGCTTGTAAATATTGGTGTGAATATATTTCATTACTTGCTGCATGATAGTAATAAACAATTGAAGAAATGTCCTTCTATTAATAAATTTTAAAATATATGTTTCATTCATAGCAGAACACTTAAGCTTGTCCTTGGCCCTCACAGGACGCCCTGTGGACGCCACTGACCGACTACCACTGCAACACTCCCATGGGTGTCACGGCCGAGAACCTGGCCAAGCAGTACAACATCACCAGAGAAGATGCCGATCAATTCGCCCTGAAGAGCCAAACTAATTGGAAAAACGGTCTGGTTGTGAACTTGTACTTGTAACTTTATGTATAATTACAATTTAATTTTACCAGAATTGTTTGTTTATGCTGCTAATTGATGAATTTTTTCATATTTTACTAATATGATCTGAATTTCGATTTATGCAGTTTGAATGGGTACCCATGATATATTGTTATCTATTGTAAAGTAACAGATAACTCGTGTCTTAAATATGTCTCTCTAGCCTTCAGTGAATTGCAATTCAATACTGATAATGCATTTGTTGTCCCTAAGAATTAATTTGCGATTGTAAGAATGGACTTTGGTTATTTTAGCCCATGACAAAGGATACTTCAAGGCTGAATTGGCACCGGTGACCGTTAAGACCCGTAAAGGAGACAAGGAGATCTCCGTTGACGAGCATCCCAAGCCAGACACCGTGCTGGCTGGCCTCGCTAAACTCCCTTCAGTCTTCATGAAGAATGGAACTGTCACCGCCGGCACTGCTTCCGTCAGTTACATGGGGTTATTTTGTTGACTTTTGTGTCAGTCTTGTCACTGCAGGCACTGCTTACGTCAGTTACATGGGGTTATTCTGTTGACTTTTGTGTCAGTCTTGTCACCAGTGGCAGTTGGGAGTGCAGTTACAAGATTGATCTTAACGTTTTTTTAGTTACGAATGTGAATTTTGTTGGTGCAAATCTATAATTGGGAGTGACACATGCATCAGGATAAAGCCTCCAGCTAAACTGGTTGTTTTTGTTTCTTGAGAGAAAAAAAATCTGTCGACTGATATGTTCAGTGCATAAGAATGAAGATAAATCATTGCTGAACGAAAAAGCCCTACTCATATTATTGATGCCTATGGTTTTTCAGTCCCAGTCATCTACATTTCATTCTAATTCAGGTGCCTAGATGCCATCCCAATGCAATCATAATTAGTAACGAGTACATAACTCGTATAGTATCTTATTTATTCTTTCATGCGTTTCAACTTCATTTGAATTGATGTGAATATGCGTCGTGCAGGGTATCTGCGACGGTGCGGGTGCAGTTGTGGTCGCGTCAGAGGAGGCCTGTAAGAGCAACAACCTGCAGCCCCTGGCCCGCCTCGTGGGCTACGCCATCGCTGGCGTTGAGCCCACCATCATGGGCATCGGGCCCGTGCCCGCCATCAGGAAGCTCCTTAAAATCTCTGGACTGCAGCTTGCTGACATCAACCTAGTTGAAGTTAGTTCCCTTGACAGACGCCTAGAATATTACTAAGGTATTTCAATGGCTGATCTACCTCAGCAATGATAAAGAGGGAAAATTACTCCGCAAAGACCTAACTTCAGTGCTATAAAGAGTAAAATTGTGAGCGAACGCAACGGCGGACTGCTGATCAACGAGGCATGCATTTTGTGCAGATCAACGAGGCGTTTGCACCTCAGACGCTTGCCTGTCAGAGGGAGTTGGACATCGACCCCGCCATCCTAAACGTCAACGGCGGCGCCATCGCTCTGGGCCATCCGCTCGCCGCGTCGGGGGCGCGTATAACCTCGCACCTAGTGCATGAGATGAGGTCGCTAGTGCTTTTATTTGACTTCATTATTTCTGCATCTTTCATAGTTATTAAATTTCTACTTTTAACAGTTTTTGTATTCAACACAAGCTTTGAACTATTTTTTTCAGTGATTCAGCATAGAATGAAAAGTTGTCATTTTTCGTTGAGTGATTGGAAACGTTAAACTGGGTGCGTCAGGTGTTCATTCGATGAAATTATTTTCCTTTCATGAAATCACACGTTCTTCTACACCTTACAGACGACGCCAAGTGAAGTACAGCATCGGGTCGGCATGCATCGGAGGTGGTCAAGGCATCGCCCTACTCCTGGAGTCTGTGTGACTGACTACGTGATTGATCCGCGGTCTCGTGCCTTCAGTGCTGCTGCTCCAGTTCTGAGCAGCTGGTGCTAATATATCTAGTAGCCAATTGTAGGAGTTATCATTAATTTGTTTTACATTTTGACGTGCCAACTCTAGCAGAGAATGATGCATTGGTATTTTATTGATAATGTATTATAGCGTAGGTAGCGTAAATAATACCTCACTTGTTACTCCACTTGGTTTAGTTGCTTTATTTGAGCGCTATATTCCTCCACTGCCTCTCTGTTCCTTGACCCTTCAGGCTCCCTCCCTCGATTGCGAAACACGAGTCAGTCTTCAGTCTAATTAACTGAGTAAAGAGTCCAATATTTTTATTACTATCTGTTCTTCATTCTCTATGAACGTTTTATTGTACTTATGTGAGTAGTAGCTTCATCACTAAATGTGTTGGGAAGTCATCATCTGTATATTTTTCTACCGGGAAATCTTTAATTTAAATAATTGTACGACGTATTGGTAAAAGGGATTTCTCTCGAAAAAATCATGACCGGAAATTTCCTTTATTCATTTTCCTGCGTGTTTCTCAAGCAATCAAGGCAAATATTATTACTCATTTCTGGAATGCCTAACCCAAACATCCCTAGGTGCCCGATTGCTCGTCTGCAAGCTTCTAAATTTATTATACTACTTTTCATGAAGACACTGGTCTGATGGGACTGTATGAACAAGTGATTAACTTTACAGCTTAATACATAATACTTACAGCACACATTTCAACTTCGTCGACACATATTCCCGATATTCCATACTGAAAAGTTCGATACAGATCCAATGCTGCAATCCCCTTAACGAACAATCGTCAACCGTTCAAGGATATTGAACATGGAAATGCCGTGGTGCATTACGCGTGCTTGTCATGCAACAAGTTGAAGTAGAGAAACAGCAAAAAAAAACCTCTGTGAAGGTAATTAAAAAATTATGCAAGTCCGACGTGCCTACGTGCCAGTTTGAAATTTTATTGAATAAGAGTTTCTTCGAGTAGTATTATTTGTAAAAAATCTTATTTCAAATCCAAACTGGAATATTGGGCAAGTTTTCTACACGATCTGTTGATTCGACAATATATGCCCATAATAATATTCTTGTTGAACATGAAAAATAAAATAACATTGCTGTTAGGCTGTTCAATATTAGACCACGACCGTGACAAACAACTAAAACCATCGTAACAGATTTGGTTAAGCATCCCATCGTATTATCACTTATTATAGGGTCATACATGACTAACCCACGTGACAACGTTGCTACAATCGGTTTAAAACCTTTAGCCGCTAAAATGCACTCGACTCGTTAAACTAAAGTAAAACAATAGGATAGGAGTAATGCCCAGATGTATTGGAAGGTGACTATAGAATGCGCGATACAAAACGTTGGTAACAGCAAAGGCACGTTTTGCTTGTAAATCGTTCAGCAATAACTGTACTCGCACAAAAGTTTGGTTAGCAACTTATTGGAGTATTTAAAACGAACCTAGACTAATATAATAAGATTTGTGCAGACAACTCACAGGTAAAACCAAATCTAGACATAACTATTTTACAAGCGATGACCTATTAACTACAGGAACTCGCAATTACCGTGAGATTTCGCATGTACGCATTTTCATATGCCCATTTAAATTATTCTGATTTCCTCTCTTGTAGTAACCATATAAGTGGACATAGCAACATCATTATTACCTTTCATGCAAGCAGATAATAAATCCCTGGACTGAAAGAGTTGCTCGGTCGGTGTTATTAGAAATAATTGTTCGCAATACAGAAAAAGATGCCTTCACGAGTCCTTAGTAATTAATAATAACACGCAGTACAAACTATGAACGATAACAGTATAAAAATACATTATCTAACCATAGCTGGTTCACATTACCAGGCGAAGCAGCATCGCAGGGTCTTGAGATTCTGATAAATGTCATGGCGGAGCAATCCATTTTGCTGTAAGGTTTGAAATTTAGGCATCGTCGGGAGATTCGTGACGGATTATTGCTGTTGACGTGAATTCAACAGATAGCTAATAAAATACGGCAAGTAACATTTGGATAGAAATCATTTAACCTTGTAAACAGAGGGCAGAATAATTGAATCGCCGGAGAACGTTGGCCATATTTCTATTTTGTTCAATATCTGCAACCTGGGATATTCAGCAAGATTCAAGATTCGCCGACGGGCCTGATAAATTGAATCTGTGGGCCAGATAGGCCCCACATATATATGACCTCTGGTGGTCTCATTAAATATCAAATAAATTTGTGCTAAGTAACTTATTTTCATCAGCATTGAGTTGCGTAAAAAATCAATTTATTGGCTCATTGAATCCATGGCATCATGTCGGACTAATTGATGTTAGAGCGAAGCGTTGAAAACGTCCAAATGAAAACCTCTCGTTACGCTCTTGATTTCCAAAATAAATGCAATAAAAATTAACTAAAGGTACCCCTTAATAATTACCTAGAGCTTTGATGAAACAAAAATTAATTTCTAAATTAAAATTACCAACTTCGGCCTTAACTGAAAATAGAAATTTGATCATTGTGAATAAAAAGGCAGCGAGAGATGCCAAGCCGTAACACGAAGAGCATTTCAGTTAATTTGTGGCACTGGCAGTGGAAGGCACGTCAGTTATGGCAGCAGATCTACTTCGTTCCTCAAACATGGCACGACTTCTACATAAATACGCTCGAATAAATAATTTATGTTCATCATTATCTTTGGAATTATCCTTAATAATAAAAATGACTTGGCATTTAAAACTTTGCAAATGAATGTAATACAGACAAGGATACTAAATTTGTTTAAGCTATAACATTATAACAATATCTAATACAAAACGTTTTTAAAAATGTAAGAATTAAGTCTCTAGGTTGTCTCCTAATGAAGACTCCAACTCGGCTCAAAGAATAGGTAATAGTAACAGAAACAAAACTAAATAACTACAAAAAAATTTGATCTTTCATAATGGATAAATAAGGAACATGCAACGGTCATTATCAATCCAAAAACGAGCTGTAACTAAGTTACGCGCAACTTTGAGTTTCAAGAGTCCCCTCACCAAGCTGTTTAGGAACTACAGACGATTTTAAAATATTGCGATTTTGGTATCAACCAAGGCAGTGTCTTGTCATAAAACAAATAAGAACAAGTATTGGTCCACATAACTAGAGCTCCTCCTTGCCAAACGCACCCACATCGAGCTTCCCCATACCCACTGAAGGGGCCTTGGTAGGCAAGAAATCCTGAGGGTCGCCAGCCACGGCAGCCTCCTGAATGTCGGCGTCGCCCTTCCTAGTGACGACGTGGCCAGCAGATGACGAGTAATTGTTACCCCAGGCGAGCGAGTCATCCGAGGAGAGCAAGGGCGACTCCTCGGTGTCACTGATGTAGCCTGCCTCGCCCGTGTAGTGCGTTGGGTACACCAAAAAGGGGTCTACCGAGAACGCCTTCAGGTCCCGCACTGGGTATTCTGCCGCCCACTCTTTCTGAAGGAAGAGCTCTCGTTTGTAGGATGTTGTGGTGATTTGACACAAGCAAAAACATTGGACGCATCAAGACACGAGCAAATTTGAACCTTCACTGATGAAGATCTATCATTGCAGAGCCACGTTGCAGATATGCAAATTGTTGTACTAGGTAACCTTGAGTATTTAAACAACCTCACTAACTGTGCTGTATATTCCTTCAGCAGAGGCATTTCGGAAATTGCAAAATAAATATCTCTGCTGCAGTCACAAAGTGAAGATACATTAAAGCAGCATTTCATGGCAGCTACTCAGACGAAATAAGTGGACGTGAAGATCTGTCACTCGTCCAGACATATAATATTTTACAGCGACCACGAGTAGCTACAAATACAACGGAACAAATTCTGCAGTTACAAGTGGAACCGTATCTTGTCAATTTATGTATAAATAACTAATTTACACGAGACAGTGCCAAAGTGATTGAAGAAATATCAAGAAATACTGTCATGAACAGAATAAACCGAGCCTTGTATTAGATTAGTGTGCCCAGCTCGAGGTGACTGTTGAAGTATAGACTATAGACTGCAATACTATTCTATCTCATAGTGTTTATTAAACTAGTGACAGCGATAGTGTGTCCCCTAATCGGAGATTCGGTCGAACTATTGACTAAAATTGCGTGTCCTCAGGGTATTTATTTATCTGTTGACTGACAGTATGCAAATCTCGGGGTGACAGTAGAGCAATGGACTGTAATTTGTTATGAAAATCTCGAATACGGGAATGAAACTTTGTTATTTGAACTGTTGGCTCTAATTCAGCTTGCATATCAGTGGTGTTGTATGAACTATTGGCTGCAATTTAGTGACCCTACCTCAGGGTGTCGGTCAAACATGATGGGGAGAAACTCGTCAACTGGAAGGAGCCGCTCGAGAGGCCTAGCAGCCAGCAATTTGGCTGCACCACGTCCGCTCAGAATGTAGCATAGCGTCCAGTAGGAGTACTGCACATGCACCAGGCGGCTAGAATCCTGCACCTGCAATGCAAGGGCAGTGTTAGTGCTGCACAGCATCCAGTAGGAGTACTGCACATGCACCAGGCGGCTAGAATCCTGCACCTGCAATGCAAGGGCAGTGTTAGTGCCGCACAGCACCCAGTAGGAGTACTGCACAAGCACCAGGCGGCTAGAGTCCGACACTTGCGATGCAAGTGCAATGTTAGTGCTGCACTTGGGTCGCTCGTGTAGACAACCGTGGAATAACTGAAAATTAGGCAACAGTTCACAGGGCAAGCCATCTTAAAGCAGTCAGAAAGACTGAAAATTAAGATTCAACTGATGTCTGCTCCAATGCGGTAGATTTATGCAGTTTAACCCTTTACGCCCTGGCGTGACGATTTCGTCACACCAGGGACTAGCTACCTTTTCCAACAATTTCACGTTTTCTGTCATTTTTTCGAAAAATTCACAGGAATAAAAAAGGCTTAGATTTTATTTTTACATATGTGTGCCAAGTTTCAAAGTTATCTGTCAGTAAATAACCGAAATATTATTTCCAATTTCCAATGGCAATGTCAAATTTCTAATGGAAATTCTATTTCGGTTATTTACAAACTTTCATTTCTGGATTAAATACTGACTTCAAAATTGCATTATTTCAATATCCCACTGTATAGATAAAAATTAATCAATAAATCAAAAGAAGGAAAATAACTGATCTCAAACTAACTAGGCTCTAAAGCAAAATTTCAGATATCATGAATCAGAATTTCTTGTAGGAGATGAGGTTGTTTCTTAGGTTGACTTCATTAATGACTGCTGCTGGACCTCACAAATTGAGGACACAATTGTAGTTGTCAAGTTTGTCAAGATGCGTTTGATTTAGTTAGTCTTTCATGAGCAACATGGTGCCTGGTCTCACCCACTCCTCCTCAGAATGCTTGAGTTTCTTGCGGCCCAGGTAGATGAGGTCCCAATCAAGGTTGATCTCCGCCACATGGCTCATGAGGCTGGTCACGTGCTCTCTGAAGAATGGCTCGAAGCGAATGTCGTCCTCAAACAACAGCACCTGTACACCAGGCATGAACGTGTAAGTGATTTGGAGTGACAAATTTTAGGTATACATTACCTATGGTTGAAGTTCACTTCTAAATTTCTAAGTAAGATGCAGGTTTTGATGTAACAAATAAAATATGAGAAACTAATTGTTTAATGATGCAGAAAGGTTGTAGGGGCAAGATGTATGAATGAATAACAAAATGTGGTTCTATGTGATGAGTTAACAAGGAATAAAAACAGTGGAGTAATAGTTTAGTAGAAAAAATGTAAATCATGAGCAAATTAAGAAAAGTTGTAAATAGCTAAACAAGAATAAGAAAATATTTTTCTTTCTCAGATACTGCAATAATAAATTAAAATTGAAAAAGTTCACAGTTGAACACAGCCAAGGTGACAGTTACATGACATACTAGTACTACCTAGTATATCAAGGTCAAACCTTGTGTAAGTTGCTGTTATAAAAACTGGACTATTGCTAAGAAGCAAGGCTTCTTTCTGGAATAAAATTATTTTTGAGGCTTAAAATAACTACCGTGGCTGAAAATAGAAAAAAAAATAAAAAATTAGCAGAATGAAAACAGTAAATACAGATGCATGCGGTATAGTGAAAAAGTTCCCTATAAATAAAAGTAGGTATGGTATTAAACTTGATAAACATAAAAGATATTGGTTATTACCAGTGGTGGGCAGTCAGCTAATCTGCTAATTAGCAAAGCTGACGTTTTCCTTAGCCGGTGCATCACACTGATGGCTGAATGCATCAACCAATCTTGTCTTTTGTTACAAAAGACGTGATTGGTTGATGTACATATGTTGACGTAGTCAGCCATCAGTGTGGCACACCTGCAAAGGAAAATGTCAGCTTCGCTACTTAGTGTGGTTAGCGGACTGTGCCTACCACTGGTTATTACTAATTTGAATGAAATTAATGATAACTTACAGTCTGGTAGCCATTCTTGGCAACATCTTGCCAAACTTTGTAATGGCTGAGGAAACAGCCTATTTCTCCAAAGGTCATCTTCCGACCACTCCAAGGGTCCTGATATCCAGCCATGACTTCAATCCCCATTTCAATCAGTGTTGAGTCATTCAAAGTTTTCCCATCAACTGCATCAATGGCTAGCACATCAAGGCCCAGCTCATCAAAACAATGGTTCATTTTATCACGTCTCAGTTGGCGGCGTTCAAGGTTTATCAAGTAAACTTGGTCAAAGTCAAGCTTGTCTTTCTTACGAGCTGGTGGCAAAAACTTAGACAAAATGGGAGAAACTGGCAGTGGCGAAGAGTATGCCAAAACTTCCAACTTGAGACTTGATAAGCGTAGTAAGTCCAAGTCAATTTGTTCTTTGTCAACCACAGGTGGATTCATGTAACCATAAGTAGCCTCATTACAGATTGTCATCTCTAGTCCTGCTTCTCTAGCAGACACAGCAAAGGCAATAATGTCATCAAGAGGAAGTAGGTGTCCTTGGACATTGTCAGGATTGAAGGTTAAATAATCAGTATCACTCACTTTTAGATTCACAAGTACAAATGAGTGAACCATAGGCACACTAAAACATCCCTTCTGCTTCTTCTCTAAGATGTCCAAATATTGATCAGTTCTCACATACCAATAATCTTCAGACATGCCACCCCAGAAGTTACTATATTTCCCTAGAGAGTGGATCATTGGAGCAATGATGGGCTGATTTTCCTCCAATAATATATTGATGATGTCAGGCTCTACAATGAAGATATCCATGTCCAAGAAAAGAACATAATCAGCCCACATGGAGCGAGCCTTAGCAAGTGCTGCTTCTTTAATATCAATAATTCCTTCATATGATGAATCACTGCGTTCAGTACGGCTGCTCTCACCCATATAAAGAGTAGAATTTCTGTCCAGCATGACATCTGTAGAATGGTAAAACTTTTTATTTTCTTGAAGCCATGTCTCCAGAATAGGTATGGTTTGATCTTCACAATGATCAGCTCTGATATAAAGAGCCATGCGGCTCTTGGGATAGTCCAATTGTTCAAAGAGAGTCAAAAAATAGGGCAGAGTATGTTCCTTGTTCCTGGCCAGCAACACCACCATGATGCTGGGCTGTCTGTAAGTGAAGCCAAGGCAGCCCAGCATGCACATGACCAACACTGTCATAAGACAGCCCCTGCTTCCCTTCATGGCTTGCATGGGCAAAGTTACAGCATAAAAATTCCAGAATACAGAATATTCCCTATCATAAATGAAGACTAGAATCTACAATTTGCTGAGTCTAACATTATGGCACCTAAATTTTTTATCTGAAAAGTAAATGGAAAATTAACATCAGCATTATGACCACAAAGTACAAATAAGTGAAAGATATTTACACATACACAAAATCAAGCAAATGATTTCACAGGATTTAAAATAAATAAATATTGAAACAAGAATAAAAATCAACAGAAAATTGTGTAGAAATGCAAAAATTTTATCAATTCTGACTTTTTTATGAAAAATATTAACTCCTGCAAATACTTCAATATCCTTTAATATAGGTATAATTTCAGTAGACAGAAATTTTTTAATTTATTTATACATTTTCAAAAGTTGAATTTGTGCTTCACACATCAGCTGCTATGTGAAAACACTTATTAATAATAATAATAGCGGTTTCAGCATTTTTAGGCCGTAGGCCTGTCAGCAATTCTTAACATTGCAGAATATTCACAGCTTGTTGTGGTCTTGAACACGCAACTCACTGCTTCAATTTTGCTTTGCTCAATTGCCCGGCCTCCTTGCTGATTCTGACCAGAAACTGGCGCACAGTGCTGGAATCAAACCCACACCTCTCTGCTTAAATCTTGGTACTCTGAACTTTAACAACTGGGCCACCCTGCCCATTACTGGGCCCGTGCCTCACACGTCTTGATATGCGTATCATGAGCTTTATAAAAAGCTTTCTATAATGAAATAACAGTACCTACTTTTATAAATATAATTTAATACAAATCTCTAATTTAGCTCCAAATTCACTAATTCTATGATGAAAATCTTCCTTCCTGCTAAGAAAAGCTGTTATTTCAAAATGTATCAGTATCAGACCAAATATCTTTATAACATTTACTCATATTAAATGGAGTCCAAAATTATTAAAAAATTATGATGAATTCATCTCCCTACTAAAAGCTAGTTTGGATATTGTTGCTCATAGACACACTAAAAATTAAAACGCACTTTCATACAAAACAATGATTAATATGCATGATCTCCTCCTATGACTCAAGAAACAACATTGAGAGACATATCCATTGATTTGAACCACAAGACAATATCTAGCAACTTTAGAAGTACCTATTTTTTTTGTGATTAGTAGATTGTTTGGATTACTGTCAAATGGCATAATAATGAACGGGAAGGGTAAATCGGGATTTGGGACAGTCCTCTACCACAGTATAAAATTGTTATAGCACACCAACCAACAACCAACACAAACCAACAACAACAACAACAACAACATAGCAGCAAAACTAATTGAAATACCATTGCAAAACTAAAAATAGTGGCATAAACTTCAACATTTTTCCTCTCTATGTAGCATAAAGAAAGTTAAGAAATCATACATATACAACTGTCCAATAAGGTAATAAGGGATGATTTTGAGCATTTATTGTTCAAAGTTTCTTACCATGAAACATTTCATAAATGAGTTTGGGCTCAATTTAAAGGTCTTAGCAGGAGCTATTGTATGGCAACTCCAAAAAAATTCATATGCTATTTGTAAGGTGCCAGACGCATAAGGAAAATGTCCCAAATTACCCCTGGAAATGGGGCGATTTGGGACACTTGAAATAAAACTCGATTCAAAATGTTTGAAGCATACAGAGTGTACTCATCAATTACTAACAATACTCTGAAGTCCTCCTCTTCCATTGTGGATAATTTAGAAGTAGAACAAGTGACATTTTCTGTGATTTGCACTTGTTTTTCCTTTATTGACATGATATTACCATATCCATACATCAAGGAATTATTGAGGTGAAATTACTGTCTCCATGGACATGTCATTGAGCATGGAAAACGACCTTGTCCACTGCAAGCTTCATATCAGCAGCCATATAGCATTTCTTTTGTATCTGTTTTCTTACAGGATGGCTTGTAATTTGTGCACCATTTCAATTCAGTCAAGTGAGTTCACTATAACAAAAAAATATCATAAAAAACATACCTGAACAGAAAAGAATATTCAAGTAACAACCATCATATTTTTGGAGAACTAAATCATAGTTTAGGTTATTAATTACTTTTTGTTTTATGTTGCTTAGTGCATGGTTCTATCTACAACATTCTTTGCACAATTTTGTGATGACCGATGATGCATTAATTCTTTGTTGAACAATTTTTATTTCACTGAGCAAGGTAAATATAATCAAAATTCTTCATTATCAATTGATTTTTTTACCACATTTTTCTTCTTTTCGCTTGGTGTCCGTCTGTCTGTCATCACAAATTCAAATCTTAATTTAGAGCACTTCTGAAGATCATAGAAACTTGAAATTTGGCATGCATGTTTATGCTGCCTAACAATTCAAGATTTGATCATCAGAAGTACGGTATAAGGTTAAAAAAAAAATAAGAAAATAAAATTTTAAAAACATCAAAAATTCATGTTTTGGAATCCAAGTTTTTTTGACAAACATCCAGAGTTGCAAACCATGCAAAATGATTTGAATTGCTAAAATTTGTAAACTAAAAAGTAGAAAATAAATAAATATAAAAATCATTTTTAAAAACCAGGTTTTTCTGGTGGTTACAAAAGTAACAAGAATGAAATAAAACAAATAAAAAAATAAAAAACAACATCTTTTATTAACGGACAATAAAGAAAGATTAAATTTTTCAAATTTTCAGTGAGTTGTCCTAAATTTCATTCTTGACCTAGAATGAAGTCTAAAATTTATTTTTTCAAATCATGCTGAGAAAAAAACATGGGGCGGCACTATGAAGATCTAAATATATATTTTGAGGAGCTACAGATTAAGTATTATGAATAGAACTTGGGTAATGGATGTGTCTTAAAGCCTGCCTCAGTTTTTTTGTGTTTTCTCAGCATAAGATTTGAAAAAATAAACTTTAGACTTCATTTTAGGTCAAGAATAAAATTTAGGACAACAGCATAACAATAGTCAAACTGCTACAACACTTCTCAACTTTTTTCCTTTATATTAGGCTTTGTCTTAGTTCCACGCATTCCTTGATAGTTGAAATAGTGACATCATACTATTGCATGCCATACTATTGCCAAAACACTAGGTCTGGGCCATCTGGCAGGAAAATGTTGAGATCCAAAGAGAGACAGTGCACATCACGCAGTGAGAACATCAAAAAGCGTCTCAAAGTTGATAGTTGACCTACTTGACCATGATCTACCAAATAGTGATAAACTGATTGTGTAGAAAGAATATTATGGTTTTGAGACTTTTAAATAACTCTGTGAATATATTAGGAATCCTTTAAGGGAAGCATGTAGGCAAAAATTTTGGATTTCAGCTTTTCCAGTTTTTAATCTACTCTTAAAGCTGACATTCTGCTCTATCCAACGGTACCATTACCATCTCTGTACATCCATTTTTAGATTCACGACACTTCATGAAAGGGGGGCGGGTGGGGGAGTTCTTCAAGTAATTAGATAGGAACTAATTAGATGCTGAGCTCTTTACATATAGTGTCTATTTGAGTTGTGCTGCAGTTACGTGTTTAGTCTCATCTTAAAGCTGACATTCTGAGCTATCCAACATCATCATTACTGTCTCTGTACATGAATTTTGACGTACACCACACTTCATGAAAGGGGGGCAGGGGGGGGGGAGTTCCTTCAGTAATTACATTGAGGGAAATTCGCTGCCTAGCACTACAAATACAGTGTTTTTAGAAAGTGTAAGCCAGTGTGCCTCCGGGCGTCGTGCGAGGATGTGCGCATGTAGTCGCTCCCACCATCCTTGATTGGAATCAAGCTCCAGAAACGTTTACTTTGGTATCTATGCTACATTGACTGCCTATTGTGGTGCACCCGGTACTTTGTCGCGTCCTCCTGAACATTCACACTTAATGTCACAACAAACTTTATAACTCCTAGAGTTTTGAAGCTACAGCAATGAGACATATACCATTCGATTTGCAATTAAAATATCTAGCGATTCTCGAACCATTTTTTTTTTTCATTTTAGTTTTGAAAATATTTTGAAAAAAGAGGGAAAAATTAAAAAATTTGTTGAAAAATAGAAAAATTTCAGAAAAATCATCATAACAAGAGAACCAAGGAAAAAATTGAAAAAGTGTTTTGAGAATCGCTGATATGGTCTTTGCGCATCGAATGATACGTGTCTTCATGTTGTAGCATATAATTTGCAACAGTCATAAACTTTTTTAGAGTACCCCCTTTTTTGCCATTTTCTATGAATTTCACGTTTTCTTTCACTTTTTCAAAAAATTCCCACGAACAAAATAGTAATCATTTTTGATTACACATATGTGTACCAAGTTTGGAGATGATTCTACCATATATATAGAAAATAGATTTTTGCCTACATGCCCCCCTCAAGTATACTTGTATTTGCTGATTTCAAGTGGTAAATAAATTAATAGATGATTAAGTTAAGGGACGGTTTTAGACACATAAAAACTAATTCCGACAACTTGTTCGGAGCAGTGTGCAAAAATTAAAATTTTCTTAATAGCTTAATAGCTCTTAATTAAAAACCTAATTAAGTAGTGTTCAATATTCAATAGTGTTCTAATTATTCGGAGCTGTGTTGTATTCCAATACAGCTCACACAGCGATCGGAATTCGAACACAAGAGGGTTGGAATTACGAATTAGTAGAGTTTGAAGCGCTGCCGGAATTAGTCTCACAAAATGCCAAATTTAGTCACACACAGCATTAGAATACATGGATTTGGTAGGTTTGCATTCTAAAGGCTTTAAATAAATATGGCAACATTTTGTGATGTTTCATTGTTGCTACTTGCTGGCGCACCAGGGCGCTGAGGGTGGATGCAGCATTGCCAATATATGGGTTTTTAAGCCCTAAGCGTTGCCGGGTAATTTTAAGATGCATCGCCAGGTAATTTTTAATGAAAAGCCATTTACGCTGAGTAATGAAAAACTATTTACAAGCCACGAACTTATTTACAAGGTTGCATGCACGTGTTACCCCAAATAACTAATTTTACCCTAAAAACAGTCCGATCGTACAGCAAGTGTAAACTGAACTGTGATAATGAAGTCTGACCGCTCTAATGCGACCGCAACTACGTAATCGT